AACAGAAATAAAACTAAATTGAACTGAACTGAACTATAACTGAACTAGAACTAAACTAGAACTAAACTAGAACTAAACTAGAACTAACTAGAACTGAACTAGAACTAGAACTGAACTAGAACTGAACTAGAACTGAACTAGAACTGAACTAGAACTGAACTAGAACTGAACTAGAACTGAACTAGAACTGAACTAGAACTGAACTAGAACTGAACTAGAACTGAACTAGAACTGAACTAGAACTGAACTAGAACTGAACTAGAACTGAACTAGAACTGAACTAGAACTGAACTAGAACTGAACTAGAACTGAACTAGAACTGAACTAGAACTGAACTAGAACTGAACTAGAACTGAACTAGAACTGAACTAGAACTGAACTAGAACTGAACTAGAACTGAACTAGAACTGAACTAGAACTGAACTAGAACTAGAACTGAACTAGAACTGAACTAGAACTGAACTAGAACTGAACTAGAACTGAACTAGAACTGAACTAGAACTGAACTAGAACTGAACTAGAACTGAACTAGAACTGAACTAGAACTGAACTAGAACTGAACTAGAACTGAACTAGAACTGAACTAGAACTGAACTAGAACTGAACTAGAACTGAACTAGAACTGAACTAGAACTGAACTAGAACTGAACTAGAACTGAACTAGAACTGAACTAGAACTGAACTAGAACTGAACTAGAACTGGACTAGAACTGAACTAGAACTGAACTAGAACTGAACTAGAACTGAACTAGAACTAGAACTGAACTAGAACTGAACTAGAACTGAACTAGAACTAAACTAGAACTAAACTAGAACTGAACTAGAACTGAACTAGAACTGAACTAGAACTGAACTAGAACTGAACTAGAACTGAACTAGAACTGAACTAGAACTGAACTAGAACTGAACTAGAACTGAACTAGAACTGAACTAGAACTGAACTAGAACTGAACTAGAACTGAACTAGAACTGAACTAGAACTGAACTAGAACTGGACTAGAACTGAACTAGAGTTGAACCAAAATGGAACTGAACTAGAATATGGTTGCAGCAAATATGTTTATGATTGTGGAGATTTGTTAAGAGGAAAATATTATGTTACAGTAAAGAGTAAATGATTGTAACAAATAAATACTTGTTAGCTGTAATCATATAATGATTGCAACAAACAGATTATTACAATAATTACATTAAAATAATATGATTACTACAACTAAAGATCATATAATAGTTATATGTCTTGTAATATAACTATAACCAAATATAATCATAATTTGTCTCTGGAGAAACCAAATCAAATCTTAATCTCCCACAAATACACAACACCCGCTATAGGGCACCTCTAATCATCAGTGTATTTTCTATGGGCAAAAGTCATAAAATTCTTATCGAAATTCTTAAGAAAAAAAAAAAACACAAAAAAAAATCTAAAATAAACATTTCGCACGTACAACAAGAATTTCAAATAGACATTTTGAATGTCGGTAATCTGTTTAAAGCAAATGCAATTATTTGTTTTACACTTGGTTTACTAAATATTCCAAATAAATGCCGATAATTAGTTGAGTAAAAAAAATGGGGCAATAAGCAATTATTTAAATGTGTCTAGTTGGTATAAAATGAAATTCTAACAAAACTTTGGAATGTTAAAGATTAAAGATTTTCCAAGGTTTCTATGAAGTTTGAAAATCCGAGTAAACAGGTGTAAAGGAAAAATATAAATTATTTGACCAATTAAAGTGCTGTTTTAAACATTAAAGCTTAATGCTATTTAATATTCAAAAAACATAAACTTTTGGAATTTTATAAATTAAAACAAGTTTTGTTGTTAAAGTTTTCCTATCAAACTAAGGGGCGTATACGTTATATGAAAAAGGAATTTAGTATAAATAATATTGAGGAGTAACAAAAAGATTTCTAATGATAAAATACACAAATGTAAGAAATTAATCTTAACATTTCCATTAAGTTGTCTGTTTTTGTTTCTATTGCCTAATGAATAAGTGCCTACAATACCGCCGAGAGCATAATAAATGTATAACTAGTCTGGTTACGTATACTTAATATAAATTATGTTCTAATTAAACATACATATCGGTGGTCACGTTGTTGACAACAACTGATATTTCTTTCAATGTTAGATAATAATAATGCTAAAAGATTAATCCACCAGATTGCCCCACCATTGTGTAATTTTGCTTTAAGATGAAATACATATTTTTATTGAATTTAAGGATTTTAGCAGAAAACTTGTTTAATTTTTAAATATATTGGTTTTAATTGACAAAAAAGTTAATTTGAACTCAGCTAGTGATTATTTTTAAAATTTCAATCCAAAAATAATTTTTTCTTAATTCAGCATTTTTCTTAACTAAAATAAAATTTGAGTTGTTAAACAACAAATAAATTTTAATATATTTATTGAAAGCTTAATGAATGTACATATTTGTAGTGTCACGTTTATTTTGTTAAATATTTAAACAGAATAAGAAAAAAATTCTAAACAAAATCTTAAAAAATTCTTTTGAATTCAAGATTTTGCACAATAACATGAAATTCCTTTGCATAAATATTAATAAACCCAGCAGTGCTGCCAGGAGTCGATGTTGGTCTTTATAAACAGTATTCAATTGCAAAGTAATTTCCTGATTTTCTAAAATTCTTTAACCACAGGTAATCCTTAAGTAGACCACCATCACCATACTCCCCCAAATCTACAGAACTATATTATTTCCCGTATTAACTATACAAATATTTATTTATAATTTAGCTTTCTATTGTATTTATTTGCCGTCTGTAGCCTGCCGTTTTAATTATAATTCAATGGATCTAAACAAACAGTTGAGTGGGTGGTCGATGATTGCTGCGAATGTATAAATTTAGTTGATGTCTTTATATTAATGTTATTCTATTGAAGAGTCGTGTTGAGGGCATGTGGGTCGGGGGCTGGCTACAAGGGAATTTTCGATGATTTGTTAGAGATAATTTTTAAGAGTAAAAGATAGAAAAGGGGTTGTTGTTTGTTGGATTTTTGAATTGCACTTTCCTACTACTGTTATATTTAGAATATAAACACACTTATTTATATGCGAGTGTGTTATTGTGGATTGACAGTACTGTACGAAATCTAAACAACTTTTTGTGATAATGTTAATAAAGTCTATTTGTACAAAGAAACATCACAAAAAAAGGTTGTAAGATGACTGAAGAGCCTAGAGGCCCAAATATTCTCCATTAATAAAATCTGTAACCACTAGAACTGAACTAGAACTGAACTAGAACTGAACTAGAACTGAACTAGAACTGAACTAGAACTGAACTAGAACTGAACTAGAACTGAACTAGAACTGAACTAGAACTGAACTAGAACTGAACTAGAACTGAACTAGAACTGAACTAGAACTGAACTAGAACTGAACTAGAACTGAACTAGAACTGAACTAGAACTGAACTAGAACTGAACTAGAACTGAACTAGAACTGAACTAGAACTGAACTAGAACTGAACTAGAACTGAACTAGAACTGAACTAGAACTGAACTAGAACTGAACTAGAACTGAACTAGAACTGAACTAGAACTGAACTAGAACTGAACTAGAACTGAACTAGAACTGAACTAGAACTGAACTAGAACTGAACTAGAACTGAACTAGAACTGAACTAGAACTGAACTAGAACTGAACTAGAACTGAACTAGAACTGAACTAGAACTGAACTAGAACTGAACTAGAACTGAACTAGAACTGAACTAGAACTGAACTAGAACTGAACTAGAACTGAACTAGAACTGAACTAGAACTGAACTAGAACTGAACTAGAACTGAACTAGAACTGAACTAGAACTGAACTAGAACTGAACTAGAACTGAACTAGAACTGAACTAGAACTGAACTAGAACTGAACTAGAACTGACTAAACTGAACTAGAACTGAACTAGAACTGAACTAGAACTGAACTAGAACTGAACTAGAACTGAACTAGAACTGAACTAGAACTGAACTAGAACTGAACTAGAACTGAACTAGAACTGAACTAGAACTGAACTAGAACTGAACTAGAACTGAACTAGAACTGAACTAGAACTGAACTAGAACTGAACTAGAACTGAACTAGAACTGAACTAGAACTGAACTAGAACTGAACTAGAACTGAACTAGAACTGAACTAGAACTGAACTGAACTGAACTGAACTAAACTGAACAAACTGAACTAAACTGAAACTAGAACTGAACTAGAACTGAACTAGAACTGAACTAGAACTGAACTAGAACTGAACTAGAACTAGAACTAGAACTAGAACTGAACTAGAACTGAACTAGAACTGAACTAGAACTGAACTAGAACTGAACTAGAACTGACTAGAACTGAACTAGAACTGAACTAGAACTGAACTAGAACTGAACTAGAACTGAACTAGAACTGAACTAGAACTGAACTAGAACTGAACTAGAACTGAACTAGAACTGAACTAGAACTGAACTAGAACTGAACTAGAACTGAACTAGAACTGAACTAGAACTGAACTAGAACTGAACTAGAACTGAACTAGAACTGAACTATAACTGAACTAGAACTGAACTAGAACTGAACTAGAACTGAACTAGAACTGAACTAGAACTGAACTAGAACTGACTAGAACTGAACTAGAACTGAACTAGAACTCTAAGACTGAACTAGAACTGAACTAGAACTGAACTAGAAGCTGAACTAGAACTGAACTAGAACTGAACTAGAACTGAACTAGAACTGAACTAGAACTGAACTAGAACTGAACTAGAACTGAACTAGAACTGAACTAGAACTTATAGACTGAACTATAAAGATCTGAACTAAAACCGATCTAGAACTGCATAGAACTGAACTGGAACTAGAACTGTACTAGTCTTATAAACCGGCTATCAACTTTCAAATTACAAGATACTGCTTATTTTAGAAAACATTGCTTTGTTTTGAACAATACTGCTTATGGGGAACAGTTTTATTATGTTTAAGCACTTAAC